TGCTAGGTCAATATAGTTAACTTAGTTTGTCTATACATACTTAGACGTAATAAAGATAAAAGTTGTTGGCAGTGGTGTTAGCACTTCGATTCGAATGCTTCCTTACATTTTACAACTGATATGTTTATCATTGTATATGGCTGCATTGGTGCACACAGTCATAGTATATGTCTTATCTATTGGAATATTTGTGGTCGTGCACACGGTGATAACTTGTGATCTACATATTATCTTCCCTTTTTCTTGCAAAAATTGACACATTTTCCAATACAAATGCATTGTTTATACTAACCAGTTGTCCTGTGATTATTCATTTTCAGCAAATATTCTTAATTACACAATCTCCAAATTGTTGAAGTTCTTTATTATTTTATAACGGAAAGTCTACTAACGGACATTTTACTACCAGTAACAACTCACGCTGAGAAAAATCGCAGGTATAACTTTAATGAGTTGAAAGAAGATCTTAGCCTAGTGGTTTTAGGAAACAATTAAAAACAGATAGTCATATTGTTTCTTGCATGGTTTGGAACATTATTATCTGCTGTGTTCATTGCCACTTACTAAGTATGAGGGGAGTGAGGACCTGACTAAAACTGAACAAAAATAAAAAAATGATTTCTTCCAAATATTAAGTGTATTTCTGGCATTCTCTCTATAACTGATTAAAAACTTTCATACATTTTGGAAAAAAAACATAATACCACCATCAGAACCTCATTATCGCTCTTGACAACAACATGGGTGGCATTTTTCTAAGAAGCACAATAATGCATGAACGCCATGTACGAGTAGTCGTGGCCAAGTCGGCTTTCGGCCCGGTACCAATCTACATGTGATCGTGAAGGGAGGCTATGAAATTGTAAAATTGCGACAATATTGCAAATCAGCGAAACGCTAATACCATTTCATTCTTCTTTTCTAATTTTCTAAATAATCACTTATACTTACTGGATACAGTAGTTTCTCGGTTCAATACTTATTTTAAGCACTAGAGACGTCATGCAATTCGAACATTAATGTATTTATACGTGTTGTATACGTTGCATGGGACCCACACTGATCAGAGGAACATGTGTTTAAAAGAGGAAATAAATTTATATTCAAATTGGAACATTTTCAAAAATGTCACAAGATGTGTGGGGATCACCATGGTAACTTGGCCAATCGTTCGTGGCATATCTCGGCTAGTCTCCGTAGTTCCGTGAATACACAAAATCTGTCACGGCTTTTTCTTCAATCGTAATAACGACGAATTTATATCTGCGGGTACAGTAAATAGCGTAGTTCACGGTGAAGCCAATAAGTTGAATCATAAAAACGATTCAAATCGTTCTAACAAACTTACAAGTAAATAGAAATTGAAATAGTGTTTGTGGCTTTTTGGCGTTGGCATAATGGTACAAAAATTGTGTTCATTTATAACAGGGCGCTGCAAACCACAAGGTGTTTCAATTAAGGTTGAATATGTCTACACAGGTTGTCTTTATTTGATCTGTTTCACGCACTGGGCAACTTTTTGTGGTTACGTCATTAATCTTGGCACACCGCTATACGATATTCATACCAATGAGTCGCTTAGACACGTTTACATTATATTGTGTACATCTAGTTTCCCATTTTTTCAAAGATAAATTATACATTCATATAATGAACTCCATTGTTTTGGTTTTCAGAGAAAATTCTACGCCTAATCGTTTCGCAGTGCGGTTTCACGAATCACTTCTAGGGTTCTTCGTGGGAAGTGTCCTTGTGTTTTGTTTCCCTGGATAGGCAATATGGTGGATTCCGGTGGGACATTGTACTGATACTGAACATCCTTCGCAATATTAAGTGGCCTTATTGTACATACATATCCCATCCCCTGTATTCATGCGATTCCATAGAAAAGTTGATGGGTAGAAATTAGCCTGGAAGGGTTGGATGACTTTGTAGGTTGTGACGTAAACTGATACGCGCCTTCCTTCGCATTATTTCTATTTATGTTTAAAACGAAATTGTAGCTCATGTTGTTGTCAGATATATAGAAAGTCAATTAACTCAGTGCTGGTGTATGGGTTATCGGGTATCATAGAGACTTGGAGGTCGGGTATTGCGTATTATTCAAAGCTGTGACTATCCGCTCAATGTCTCCGACTCAAATCATCATTTTGTAACTGGTTACTTTATTCCAGGCAGTGGTCCATGTGGCGATGGACGGATGTGAGTAAACAAGACGGAGGAATGGGAGCGACTGCGTGTGATAGTCACATGACAAGTACATACATTGTTAATTTAATAAATTAGCCAATGTGGCAAGTAATTTAACTAAAGCGAGTCGGTGGCGTTTGTCTTCCACAGTATTTTCTGTTAATGTTTTGGGGCAGACCATATGCATGGCTTCCAATTAAGGAACACAACTCTGAGTTGGCAATTTTCGCACCTTCTCCTCGCATTAAGATGATAACCGAAGACCTTTAAGTTGTATTTTTTGATTTGAAATAATCATCTTCACGACACGTTTGGTAAGTGAGCAAGTGGTTTTCCCTGGGCGACTGAAGTCGCAGAAACGCACGAATTTGGAGGAAAGGTGCGAAATGGGGGGAAGTTGATCACGCGGAGGAATTAACAACCCGTACTTAGAGGGAAGCCCTTGTATCTTCGGTATTAGGCACATGCGATGATATTACAATTCTCTGCAACGTCATTTATAAACGATGGTGTGTATTGGGCTATTATAGCCTCGAGTGGTTACTCAGTTGATGAGAAAAACCACCTAAGATTACCGACATTAGGTTGGAAATTGATTGTAACACCCAGGTCGGAAAGTTCCATCTCAACGATTCAGAATTGTTGCTTAAATCTTGGTTTCGAAAATGTTTGGAATATTAACTCTGAATTGGCGTGTCCATCGAGACCTGCCATGGCCATACTAGCCCATTTCCTCTGCTTTAGTCATCGTTTCATTGCTAAGTAGCTTTGGTAAACGATCATATTTTCCTCTTTTGTGCTCATTATTCTAACTTCCTATAGGCATTCGTTCATACCTGTTTAGACTGTACAAAACGATTCAGATCTACACACGCCACGCGTAGTGTGCGGGACCCTGGGGCTTTGGCCGCCTCTACTCTACCCGATTTCCCGCACAAATGAAATCTGTGCGTATTGTTGTGCATATATGACGAGTACATACATAATAGACTGCATCTTTGTCTGGCTGTTGGCGTTCCGCGCGTCGCTCTCTTTTGATCTCCTTTAAATCTCTGTGTTCATTTCAGTGTCCGTTTCTAGTATATTGAAACGGACATTGAAGACGCTATGCTATTAAGCCGTTCATTTAGCAAAGCGGGGCTTAACTAATTTTGCTGTGGATAAAAGCCATGCAACTTATCCCGTATTACACTTCACAGGTGTAAATAGAGAAATTCAATTTGCAAATGTCGTTTGGAATGAACTCTTTCACCAAGAGATACACATGATCATACAAATATTTAATTGACTTGTCAACTGCTTCCACGAAAGCTAATGAATGACAGTTGATCGAAACCTCAATTACGGCGTGTTTTCTTACTTCCTTTAGAACGCAATTCAGCTTTGCGTCGTCTATTATGTGGTGTAAATACTCAGAATAAACTTGGCACTCGAGGCGGATATGCCGAGAACAGCTTTTCAAGCCAATTACAGTGGGCGCTAGTGGAATAGGAGCCGTTTCTTTCTAATCACGTTATTTTGTATGTCTTACTGCTATTCACTTCAATTAGAAAATTATGCCCATAAGGGGTAACGGCTGTGATAAGCATCGGTCTATGCTTTAGGTAAGAGAGACTACCTAGATAATTACCATTATGAACTTTAAGATGATGCTTTGTTTAACAGGTCTATTTAAGATTGCATTGTATTTATTTTCATCTAGTGTACGTGAGTTTTATTTCTAATATTCCTTTCCCGCACCAACATGACAC